GGGGCATCAGACTCATTTGAGCATAATTCTCTTTTCCCCTCTCAAAGCTTGTAATCATGTGCTCTCCCTCCACGACGGAGATAATAAAATTCTGGCGAACCTAGCAATTCAAAGTGGACGTAGGTCGTATTGACCGAACCACTATAAATCTTGTCTTCTCTCTCCTTCTACTTACTGCATTTTATACTACAACTTGACTAATGGTGTGCAAACTAATTTGTGCATCATCAATTGGAATTCTTCATATTAAATCTCGTTAAGACCTTGCCTATGTATAAGGATTGAGATAACATGAGCAACCATCTAGAGTTATCTCTATAGACCTTTATACCTAGTATATTGGATACTTCTCCCAAATCCTTTAATAGAGAAATTATATGAAAGCTATAGTTTGACCAATGAGAACATCCCAACATCATTCCAAATGAGTAGGATGTCGTCTACATAAAATATCAAAAATGTGATAAAACTTCTACTAACCTTTTTATACATATTTGGTTCATCCATCTTTTAGAGGAAACCAAATGATTTGATTATCTCGTCAAATTGGATGTTCCAACTTTGAGATGCTTTCTTTTAATTCACAAATGAATCTCTGTAACTTGTACACATTATGGCCTTTACCGTTGGATACCAAACCTTCTAGCTGCTCTATATAAATATTTTTCTCAATGTTTCCATTAAGAAAGATGGTTTTGACATAAATATGTCATATCTTATAGTTATAGTGTGCAGTTATATTAAGCATAATCCTGATGAATTTTAGCATGACTACTGGTGAGAAGGTTTCTTCATAGTCAACTATTTGTCTTTGTTTGAAACCTTTAGCCCCTAGTCAAGCTTTATAGGTCTCTACCTTTTCATCTAAGTCTATATTCCTTTTGATTAACCATTTGCAGCCAATAGGTGCAATACCTTAAGGTGAGTATACAAAAGCCTAGTCTTGATTAGATTATATAGTATTCATCTCAAATTTCATGACATTTTGTCATGTTCTTGAGTTGATGTCGGGCATCGTCTTTGTGTAATTTATAGGATCATTAATGATCATTGTAACCAATAAAGAGTTTTTTTTATCACTTTGATGAGATACCTATATCTTTAAGGTGGTACGGTAAACTTATGTAGTACTAGGTTATATATCAATAGGGTATTTAGGTTGATCATGATTGTTTGCGGTTCTGAGGATGTTTTCTCAAATTTTGTCATTCTTCTTATGCATTCATGTTAAATAAACTCTTTTTCAAAAAAGTAACAAACTTAAAAAATTAATTACCCGAAGTGGACTTGTGCCCCTTTTCCCCTTTTTTTTTTTGAATGACCATAAGTTAAAGGGGGCAACTTTTAATTAACCCCAAAATAAAATTGTGAGAAAGTAAGGGCAATTGTCAAATATTGATATCCGAGGGGGCGTCTTTAGGAATTCGGAGTTTATTATAGGTTCCCAAATCTCCTAAAGCCTAAAGGCTCGATATCAACAGGGGTTTCTTTCTCCGACCGTCTGGCTCTGGCTCTGGCTCTGGTAGTTCTGTAAGTGCCTTTTTTAAGATCATTATTAAAGAACAATTAAATTTCTTTTTTATTTCTCAGAAATTTCAACAATTGCAATCCGATAAAAGACAAATCAAAAAAAAGAAAATAAAGTAGAAATGCAAGGAGAAGGTAACGAAGAGCTCAGCATAGAAGAACTCGCTTCAAATCTCTCTACTTACAAAGAGCAGCTTCAACAGGTACCTATTAAACACTGTATAAATATATATATATGGTGTGAGTGTGTGTGTGTATACATACCTGTTTGTGTACTGGAAAATTTTGTAATCTATCTGTTTTCAGGTAAAATTATTATTTGTGATCTGCTCACTGAAATTCTATGAAAAGCATTGTATTTACGCCTATTCTGGAAACCGTGAGAAGTAGGAATTTAGCTTTGTTTATTAACAATCCACTTAGTTAGGGCTTTTCTTTTTTAAATTAGAATTTTCTGTGTCATTTGTAATCTGAAAGATTGAATCTTTAAATGGATCGAGTATGTTTTTATAAGGATTATTTGGATTTCTACGGCCATTTCTTTGGTATGGAAAATTCTTGGATTAATTAGGGCTTTTTTTGAACCAGTTAGATGTAACTGCAGTAGCTGAATTAGTAACTTGTTGTTTGTCACTTTGTGGGATGGATTTTACTTCAGTATGAATTTTTTAAGCCATAGTTAGCGGTTTTGCAACTCATGTAGATGTAATTTTGAGCCGTGAAAACATTTTCACATTATATTATATACTAGTGTCAATTCAACTTCTTGACACTATAAGATGTGGGATTTGCCCAGATTATCACTGGCAGGCATTTGATGGTGTGTTTGTCTCAAACCCGACGCAATTTTTATCACTGTACTAGTTGACGTAGCTGGTATGCCAAAGTGTATCTATGAAGGAATTCGTTATTCCATGAAGATTAGACCCAACTGGGCTGCAAAAGCTGATGGGATGGATGTCAAATAACAGCTTGGTGCTTTTGGTGTAATTTGAAAGGCAACTTCATTGGCTATGGATGAACTATCTATGTATGAATTCCCACGTCTCATTGTTGCCATTTGATGATCTGTATCAAATAGCATTGATGTTTTAGGAGGAGATTACAACCATTTATCTACTTGTTAATATTGAAGGCTGTAATGACTACCAAATTGAAGAAAGTTAGAGGCACCTATCAAACTTCATATTCTTCCTTGGTTGCTCATATTCACCATTTTGAATGAGATTTTTTCTTGTGATACTGGTTTAAAGATAAATGTATAAGCATTGCACTTCCTCTACATCAAGGATCTCATTTGGAATTTGACCACCTATCCTGGGTTGGTCGTTAGAGATTTTAGATACTGAGTTGGTAAGATCCTTTCGTTATGTAATGTTCCATTCTATGTAGATGAAGATCACTGAATTAGGTGGACGTCGGGTGGTCATAATATAGACATTGTCCTACGCAATTTTTAATTCCTTATCCATAGAGCACATCTACATGTTCTTTTGTGTGTTTGTGTATGTGTGTGTGTTTTGCATGCTTCCTAGGGATGGTAGTGGACTGGGAGAAAATGAGTATTCGTACAAATCTGTCCCATTTGGATCAGGGATGGACCATACGTATTGGAAGTGGACTTATACGTGGATGCCACTATTAAGTGAAACTCACATTTGTTATACATATTATTTTTGTGAGTTTTTATGTTTGATACATTTAGTATATAATGAGTTTTCATCCTTATTGCAAATTCACTTGTGAGATTTTATGATTTTTTTATATTTTTTTTTTCTTAAAATCACAGAAATTAATTGTTTTGAGTGAGAATAGTGGCGGGGATGGGGATTAAAATTTTCCTAGCTAATGGGGGTGGATGAATAACTTTGAAACAGATACGGGAGTGGAGACTACTCCCCCACCTCAGTCCACTGTCATCCCTAATATTGCTCCCCTTTTGATATTTCTTCATGCCAAAGTGAGACTTTCTTCACACACTTGGGTGTGTCAGAACCATAGTTGTCAAATCGTATATCAGAAGGCGTATTATTTTTTAAAAATAGTATATCGTATCGTGCATCGTGTATCGTAAGATACATGCAATTTTAATTTTAAATAATTATTAATAAAATATATGTATATACTTTTATAAAAAAGTCATAGACTCATAATAACATAGTATTTCATTAATATTCCACCAACTATTTAAGTTTCTAACATAGTTCAGTAATATCAAAATGCAAAGACCTCTAATTCAAACTTCTAACATCAACTACTTGAACAACTTTAATATTAATCAGGAATTTTGAATTTAATTGAACAATATTAACATTAGATTTTATTTATTTTTTTTAAACTATAACCACTGAAACAATGTTGTTTCAATAGTTAGTGATTTAAAAATAAGTTTTAGGATAAAATGATGTCATTTCAACCCAAAAAATAGAATCGTCACGTATCGGGTGTATCGTATCGTGTATTGTACGATACGGTGCAAAAACGATACAAAGACACGATACATATCATTTTTCAGGTGTATTGTGACGTATCGTATGATACATATCGCGTATCGTACGATTCTAATAACTATGGTCAAAACTTTGTATTTTGGACTTTTTTTTTCCTCGCTTCCCTATCTAATATCAACACTTCTTTTTAGTGTAAGATATTGAGGATTAGTCTTTGTTATAGGATTCATTATGCATCAACTCCTTGACTTAGAAATTTGTTCCAAATGCTGAGTGATGGAGTGGTCTAAAATATGCTTAGTTGTGTGGCTATCATGGATAGTCCTTGTACTAGTACTACTTGCGAATTGGTCTGATTAGAGTACTTCCTTGTTTTGCTTTTGGTGATACTTCTACAACCTTTCTCATTTGTATGTGGTCATGGATCATTTGGTTATAAAGTATTAGAAAATTGAGTTGCTGGTCGTAGGTACGGATTATGATGGTAAGCGATGAGAATGACATGTCACCAATGAGTCAATGTTCTATGTAATTGAATCATGACGTGAGATGATGAACCTTGCGTGGATTTTTTTTTTCTGTAAACTAAAACCACGGCTTGATGTGACGTTGTATTACTTATTAATATATGTTGTATGGAATTTTGTGGCACGTCTTTGGTTGAAAAGTGTTCAATTTTTTATCCAGAGATTTCAGGAAATGGACATTCCTAAGTCTGTTCTATTCATATCTACCCTTTGTTAGATGAAGTGTTTGTCTATCCCATGTCTGGTTTCAAAGGATGCCATCTAGGTGGTTAGTTTTATTGTGTACTTCACGTCCCTGTTTATAATATGAACTTTGGTGGAGAAGAGATAGGAGAAGCTCTTTGTTTTGGGAGAAATAGGGAGGTGTAAAGTACTAGTTGGTTAGTGGAAGGTGGTCTGCTTATTGTTGAGGACGGAAATAGAAGAGAAGAGAAAGGGGAGAGAGAGGAAGATAGGGGGAGGGGGGTGGGGACATACATTAAACAATCTTGCAAAAATGGCTTTGACAACATCATTGGAGCAAAACAATTTGTGGCTTATTGAAGCAACACATGGTAGCAATGAGAGATGTTAGAAACCCCTATGGAGTGGGATTATAAAAGATCATATGTAGAGCTTGAAGGCATTCTCTCAAAATTTGTTATCTTGTGGTGATAGCTAGGTAATTAGTAGTTGGAACCCCAACTTTACGTTGTCTCCTTTTTTTGTTTGTGGTTGAGAGCCAAAGTTAGTGGACACTTCTATGTGTCTTTGATATGAAGTTACTTTTGGTTGTGCTTTTGGTCGGCCTTCTAGAAGCTTCACATTCGCCAAAAGTGACTACCTTTGTGTTCTGTCTTCTTGGCACATGTTTAATGTGGTGGAAGGATCTAGAGAGCAAGGTAGAAAGAAAGATAGGATGAAGTTGAAGGTTTATAAGTCAAGCCAAAGGACGGTGACAAGAAAGATGATAAACAACCATTAAGAAGAAAATGAGATTGAAGTAATAGACACAAGCCGAGTGGGGGAAAGCAAAAAAAAAAATGAATGAATGCACGTATGCAGTGCTTCTGAGGGAAAGTAGTTAATAAGTCCTACTTTTGACACAAAAAACCATCGAGTCCTATCAAATTTTTGTTAGGACAAGTGCTATCAAATTCTTATTGGGACTATTAAGTCAGATCTTTGATAATTTGTTCTAAATTGGTTCCAACCTCCATAAACCACACCTTTTCTTATTTAAACCTGAAGTTACACTTTTGTTCATGGTTTTAGTCAATTTTAACTTATTTAATATTAAAAAATAAATTAAATGATTGCCACTGTGTATGATTTTATATAATATTTAACAAGTTATCTAAATGTTGTATAACATTTTATATTATTTTTAAAAAATGGACACTTTTTTGTCAAACTTGATAGTGATAAATAAACTATAATTTTAATAGTTCCTCTAAGTTTCTACCTATTGGACACCAAGTTGTGTTAGTGATTTACATTGTTTTTAATTCCATGAGTTTTATTGTAATAGCATTTTTTACAATCAAAAAGCTAATATTAATGGTGATAGTAAAGTTAGGACTTTTTTGAAATTATATTGAAAAAGTAGGATTTAGTTGTCCTAGAATCCTAGTAAAAAATTGACCGGACTCAATGGATTTCCGTCACAAAAAATAGGACTTTTTTTGAAATTTTGTTAAAAAAAATGTTCTTTGACACCTTTCCTGCACCAAATTGTATGAGTAGAAAATCAATAGTACCCAATGGTTTTTGTCGCAGAAGTAGGAATTATTGGTTATTTTCCTTTTTAATGTCCTTTTGATTTTTTTTGGAGAGGATACAATAAGTTGAAACTGTGGAACTTCGTGTATAATCGCTTAGATTGCGTGACATGGTTCTTGGGGTTCATCATAAGCTGCATTCATGTGGAAAGAATTACCAGGCTCGTCTGAAATTCTTGTTTTTCCTTTGATGGGCCCGTAACTTTGGGGGCCACTCTAATTATGGACAATTTGAGGCTCAGATGTAACACTAACACTGGTAGGTGTGGCAGGGGTAGAAGGGTGAAGACTGTCAGTGATGTACTTTTGCACCATGGGTTGACTGGGGATTTGTGGTCTATGTTGCTTTCTCTCTTTTGGTGTTTGCTGGGTTATGCCCTGCTCAGTTTAGCAAAGTTGCATAGTTGTGAAGGACATTGCTTTAGAACAGATTTCAGGAGGTGTAGCTGGTGATGCCCTTGTCTCATTATGTGTTCATGGAGGGAGAATAGCAGATGATCTTTTCAGGCTGAGAAGGTTCAAATTCTCAAGATTTTGGAAGTTATATATTTAGGGAAAGCAGATTCTTTTGTATTCTTTTATTATTTATCTTTTTTCTTTTGGTGTTAGGGTGCTCCTTTTGTATACATCATGTACACGGGATTCACCCATGTTTTGGTGGTTCAGTGTTTTTCGTACCTTCCGATTGTAGGCATATTGTAATCAAGACTTTGTTCTTCTACTACTTTACCAGACTGAGTTGTTGCTTTAATTTTCAAGTTAGTTATCTTGGACATCAATCCCCAGCCTTAAATTTTCATGCATTTCTTCTCCTTTGTGCATTTGTGTATATCGCTTTTCTTTTTCAAAAATTCCAATTTTTTTTTCTAACAATGTTCTCCTTTTCCTATGGACTAGGTCCGGAAACTGTTGGATGATGACCCTGGAAACTCTGAATATGTGGACATGGAAAAGGAGCTTGTGGAGGTGATCGTTGTTCAATTTGTTCGTTTATTTTTTCCCTTGAAAATTTTCTTGTGCATTTTCATTTGATTCTATCTCCAAAACTTTGTAAAGTGGAGCCCCTAAAGTTTGCCCTGTGCAATAAAGTATCTTACCTTTTGTTTTGAGAAAATAGAGTTAATTCCATTGGATGTAAAAAGGATCATCAATTTTTTGGTTATGTAACATGTCATTGCAACTCTCTCTTTCTCTCTGATTGACATATACACAAACAATTGCTCAAACAAACAGATTTTAACAGCCAATGACTGAGGAGATTTGTTTTTATTCTTGGGTTCCAAAGGTGAGGATTCTTTAGTAAAACAAAATTCAATGAAACTCTGTGGAGGTTTTCAAAATTGTTGGAACTAGGGATTGTGTAAGATATCCATCACTTGTGTCTTGGTTACTGTGCAGGTGTGCTATCTGTCATGACGCCCAGCCTGCTTCTCTGTCTCGGGATTTCAGATGTCCTCATTAACATTTTAAGTTTGAATTCATGAAGAATTAAGTCTTCATTATACACCTAATTATTTAAGTTAATTTGGAATTTTCTTTTTTTTTTTTTTGTACTCTAGGTGATTTCTTTGACCGAAGAACTTCTGTCAACTGCGAAACAAAATGAGAATTCTGGATTGTATATTGGGACAAGTTCTGATCCATCTCACAGTTTGCGCCATTCTGGCAGTACCTTTCAGCATAATATGGTAAATCTCCTAAGTTTATCCTACATTATCACTTAAATTTGTGATTAAATATTGTATCTATATATTGGTTGGAAGATTTGCTCTAGGATTTTGTGAAAAAAAAAACAAGATTTACATGAAATGGGACACAAGATAAAAATGTGATAAGATCATTAGAATCATGGTTTGCTTCATGCAAAAGAATAAATGAAACATTATTTGTTTGCATTAAAATAGTTGAATGGGAAAAAAAAAAATGCTTTTGTGAGACTACAATTCTATTCAGACCTAATAAAATTTTCATTAGATCTGGTAATCCCACCATCTTTAGGTAGGGGGAACATCTTTTTATATCATTTAAGACTTGCTGGAGTTTCGGCATCTTTATGAAGGGGCATGGGGAATACTATCTCTCTTAAATTTGCATTTTTTCCTCTCATCCTAGTTTGGGACTGGGGAAGATTGAGGTTTAGCTTATATAGAGCTGGCTTTTGAGTTTGGACAAGAACTATTGTATTATCTTTTTGATGGAGGAGAAGACATAATTACAATCTAGAATTTAGTGTTAAGGGGATAATATGGGAAATATTTATTAAAAATTTGAGACACAGTACAACAGCCTCAGCACAAAAAGCAATAATGGAAATCTTCTTATACAATTTCCCCTGAAAGAGAAAATATCTTCCGAGAGCATGTCAAATACCTGATCTACGACAAATAAAGTTTTATGTGAGGTATGCAACATATCTCACAGGTCACATGTGTGTTTTTCTTAGTTCTCTTGTTTTTTCTCAGGAATCAACAACCATATCTGATCAGTCTGAGAAATTTGCTGTTGGCACTAAAGTTCAAGCTGTTTGGAGTGAAGATGGAGAGTGGTATGCATTGAAAATAGACATATCCAACTTATTTATTAAATTCTTTCATTTTGATTTTGCTTTACCTTTTCTGTTTCTTGTCTGTGGTTGATTTAGTTGAATGTTCAGGTATGACGCAACAATTGAGGCACTTACGCCAAATGGGTATTATGTACGCTATGATGAATGGGGTAATAAGGAAGAGGTATGACTTCTGTTTGAGCATGTTTGAATTATACAAGTTTCTCTTTCATTCACTTTAATTTCCAAATTCCATTCATCTGGTTTTTAATAATTGATGTATCATTCTTTTGAGGCACATGAAGCTTTTGTATTTGTATGTATTTCTTTTTTTGGGGTGTTTTTTTTTTTTTTTTTTTTGGGGGGGGGGGGATGGTTAAGAGAATATTACACAATTCTGACGGTATAGCTTGTATGAGTCTGTCTAACTGAATTTCCTGTATAGTCATTGTAATTACACTTAATGTTGTTATTAATGCTTAAAATATTTGTTAAGTTTTAGTGTTAATGATTCAAGCAGTATCATTACCATTGACATTGAGCTTTAAAAGAAAAAGAAGAAAATGTAAAAGTTTTCTCTTCCTCATATTGCAATCGTATTGCTTTCCAAATTTAGCACTATCATCATGCTAGGGTGCCACCAGTGCTGTCTGCCCTCAACCACAACCGACATTTCCCCTACTTTTGTCACAACCATTGCAAACTAGAAAGTAATGGTGATCAATATGTTGCGACTATGAAGCACGGACAATCTCGAGAAGGTGACGTATCCATGTTAGACACTGACAATCTTCGGACGGACACTCTTGGACACATGTCCGATACTCTGTTATCTATATCTATAATTAAATGATAAAATTTTAATTTCAGACACGTGTTCGACACTTCTTTAGAACGTATCTACTACTAAATAATAAATGTGTTGAAATATAATTAATAAAGTTTAAAAATTTGAGAACATATAATTACTAATACTAGACATTATAGTTATCAAAATCGTACAATTCAAGATTTGATTCGTACGATTTTACTCGATATAAGTACAAAATGATCCGTATCTTATATAAAAATTGTTTTAGAGTTGAATCTCACCTGAATCATACAATTTGATTCGCATCGCACGATTCAATCACTTTTTTTTTAAAACCCAAATTTTTTACAAAACAACATCGTTTTGTTCGCTAAACAGTAAAACGACTTCGTTTTGTTTGTAGAGAAACCCATGCCCTAATAAAAACTCAACCTCTTTGCTTGTTCTTTCTCTAACGTCGTTTAAAGTTTGTCTTGCGTTGTCTAAAGCTAAAGGTCACGGCTAACGCTTTCGCATCATCTGTTAATTTTTGCTCTCAATTCTTTCATATGTAGTTTGTTAGATTCTAATTTTTTGTTTAAAAATGTTGACTTTTATGTTTTTTCTCAATCAATTTTCTTGTTTGTTCTTTTTTCATTCATGTTTGTAACCTAATCTATACTCGTTGTCACTATTTTGGTTCTTAAATAGCCATGGTTCTTTATTGAATTTTTTTTCAAGTTGTTTAATTTGAAAATAGTTAAGTAAAAGATGAAAATGAAGCAAAAGGCTAGCATCTTTCCATTTAGACTATGTGATTATGTTAATTGATTATTTTTAGAATGCAATAATATTCAATATTCAATATTTTATCTATTTTAAATATGTAGTATTATTTTTTATTTTTGTTCAAATTTTGTGTCGAATCTTACAATTCACAATTCTCAAATATAGAATTTCGATTCATAATACGAATTACGATTTGACACCTATGCTAGACATGTTAAAGTTGTACTCCAAATATAATAATAAAAATAAAAGATGAATAAAAGTTTTAAAAAAAAAGAATCGAAAAAATGAGAGCAATTATTTAAATTATATATTAGGTACTCATTATCTACAAAAAAATTGATGATTATTAACTATTATAAAGATACTTTAGTCTAAAAATTCACACTGCATGACTAGACAAAAGATTTACTTATTATAAAATACTGAATATTTTATGCATTGTATATCATTATTACTATATTTGCAATAAATTATATAATTTTATATATAAAATATATTTTTTTGTAGCGTATCCTCAATCTGTCAGTGTTCTACTTTTTTAGAAATGCCGAGTTCGTGTCGTGTCCCGTGTCCGTGTCCGTGTCCGTGACTGTGTGCGTGCTTCTTAGTGTTGCGAAAACCTTAAGTGATCTTTGTTGCGACTTTTGAAGGATTGATACTTGCATTATTGTTTGGATCGTTCGAAGAAATACTTTTGAGTCATTTTGTCTTACTGTAACTTATGTAGAAGATTACAATTTAAAAATATTCATCTCAAAACCAATTGACAGCAAGTAGAGAGACCTACAAGGCTCATATGTTAAGTTGGGAGGTAGATGAGCGGTACCAGCCCACACTCATTCGACTCCTAGTCATACTTGGAGAGATCAACAGAAGAATAATAAGGCAAATGTAGAGGAATAACAATTGCACTTATGACACACACAAAGGGGGAATCAACTTCTAAATCGAAGTAACCCTTCACAAATCTAGCTCTGATACGATGTTAGAGAATTACACTCAAAATCGAATGGCAATAAGACTCATATTAATTGACAATTGTGTATCTTCTAAGTCTTTAACCAAATCAATGATTGATGGTCCATCAAGCCCATCATTTTCTCCATTTTTTAAGATTAGGAAGGCTAAAATGTCGCTTAAGGTGCACGTTTTATTTCTCGTGGCTAAATTCGCATCAATAATATGTATCAAATAAGAAAGGCCTAAAGCTTGTATCTCTCCGCAATGTGTGTCATGTGTCGGAGTAATAGTGAAAGTGTTATTTGTCCATTGCCATATTGCATTATTGTTATGGAATAACATGTTTAACTACATAGGTTTGAGGTGGGTGAACCCCAAGTCTATTTCTTCCATGTTTGTTGTGGAGTTTAGGGATTTTGGGGGAAACATAAAATATTATACTCTTTGGATTGTGCAATTTCTACTATTGTTTCGGTTATTTTGTTGGAAAAAAATGGTAGAATATTTGGAGATAGGTGTTAGGTGGTGGAAGACTTTTGGGATCAAATCTATTGTTTAGCACTTTTTTGAGCCTTGGTTGCCAAGGACTTTACGATTTGGTTTATATAAGTATCTTATGATTTATATGTATTTATTGTTGATAGGATGTCTTTTTTTGGATGGATGACTTATCCATCTTTTTTCTTACTCATGTATTACATTTCTAGTAATAATTAATTATGTTTGTTTTTATTTTTTAAAAGTCATGTTTGAATTACAAATAAGCATATCATGACAATTTTCAAATTGGGCAGCAAAGAATAAAATATTTGAACTCCCTTTGTCCTGTTAGGCAGCACAGATACTTCTTGGAGGGTGCCGTGGCAATGTCGGACACGTACATGAGTCGGATACGACCGAATACGTGTTTGACACGGCTAGAGTTGTTAGAATTGTCCAGAATAGTGAATTCAGTCAGACATGACCATGATTTTTTTTTAATTAAAAAAAACGACTATTAACTATGAAAAGGGGGTGATTTTGTAGTTTTTTTTTTTATTTATATTTTTTGTTATGTAACTTATATACTACGAATGTTAATGGATGTAATGATGTTTAATGAAAATGTTGGATATTTATTTTGACCTATTTCAATTTCAGTCAAAAAATTAATATTTATTAGGTCTTATTGTTAATATTATCATAACATATGTTTTTTAAATATATTATAACTTTATTATTGTCTAAAAAATATATTATATCACTTTAATAGCCGTACCAGTGTCCTATATTTTCGAACTTCGTCGTAGCGACATATTTGTATCTGATACGGTATGACACCCATATCTGTTCTTCCTAGCTGTCTCGTATTTACCATCCATTTTTCAGTTGTTTGGGTTTCTTTCTTCAAATGATAGTACAGATTGAAAAATCAATTTAGAATACTTGTTGATTTTAACAGTTAAGTTACTCTCAAAAACATTCGAAGGTTAAATAAAATATGTATTTTGCTCATTAATATACCGTGCTGCACACTTTAGGTAGGTGGAATGGAAATCCACCTTGGCATCTTAAAGTGGGACTAATTTGGTCTTGTTAATATCTCTAGACTCTTTTTACTTGAGTTTTTCTTCCATTTTTACTTGGTGTTCTAAAGTAGGACTGCTGTCAATACAGCTAGGGTATACTGCCATCAGGATTTGCCATCACTGTGGTCATTGCCACAATTACTATTGCCTTTTGCAATTATTTGTCTCACCAACATCACTCCCTCTTGTATTTTTCTGCTCTTCATAAAAATCCTGCTGTTAGCAGTTACCGGGCATGCTTGGCATTTGATTTCAAAAAGCTTAAGCGACTGGGGATCTATGATATCAACTCATCCTGGCAATTCAATAGAACCCAACCTTCTGTGTCTCATCTCTCTCTCTATATAAATAGCAATTTGAATTCTCTTGGCTTTTGGCAGTCAAATATATCATTAACTACTGTGTAATATTTGGATCTCTTGGAAATTTTCCAAGAGAGTTATCAGGTTCTGAGTCATCCACTCTTGGCCCATTTGTTATTATTATTTTAATGCATTTTGCTCTGCCATTGTCTACTTACAAAGAATCATTCGAAGCATTATGTGTTACTGTTTCTTGTTACCAGGTTGATCCTGCTAATATTAGGCCAGTTGAAGAAGGGACTGTAAATACTCTGCTGGAAGCTGAAAGGGAAGCTGAAGCTACAAAACAAGCTCTTAAACGTAAAATTGCTCAAGCTGCCGCTGCAGACTTCCAGTCACGGAGTTTACCAGCCAAGCTTCGAATTGATCCTGATGACCCTGAAGATGTGGTATGTTTGATGTACATTTTTTGACCATTATCAAGGTGGAACAAATGATATGTCTAATAAAGGTCAAGTCCTTAGGATACAGGCTGTGGTTGATATTCTACTTTCTAAAATTGTTATGGCCCCAACCCAAAAACCAAAGTAACCTTAAACCATTTTTTGGGGGGCTCTTGGATTACGTAGTGTGTAGGTTCAGTTCAGTATCAGTTTGTTAACATTGAATTTTTTCCTGTTATTTAATTTTTTGTGTTTGGGGTTTCTTTTTTCCAATTGTTGGTTCATTTTTATACCTGCTAACCTCCTACATACATGAAACAGAAAGCTGCCAAACGTAAAAAGATACATGCGTTTAAGTCAAAGGTGCGGATGGAGCAACTTGAAGTCACACAGAATAAGAGGCAGAATGCTTGGCAGCAATTCCAGACAACTAAAGGCCAGGCCAAGAAGGTACATTTTGCTGCTCCTATTGCACTTGTGAAAACTGCTAGTTGGTCATTTTTACAACCATTTCCTCTCTTTATATAGCATGTGAAAGTGCTCACCCATATTAAACAATTATCATTGTGCTGTCTTTTGAAATGTAGTGGGAAGGATCAAATTAATTCTTTTGATTTCATCTTGCATGTTGTACTAATAGGAGTTGCTGGCTTCAGTTCCTCACTAGAACCTGTTTGTATGACTCCGAGTAATACTTCACTCATATAGTTTTCCATATTGGATCCATAAGAGGCCGACGTTCTCTTTGAGTCTATCAGACTTTGCCAACGTCAAGTATGGCCCCACCCATTGCTTATCGTGAATTATGCCACCTAAATTATTTTAAATTGTCAGTTTGTGAGAGGAAGAGAAACCGCGTGCCCCCCGGGGGGGGGGGGGATTGTCCTCTACAAGCACACATTTACATTCTCCCCCCATATTGTTTTTCTTTGAGACTGTTGGAGTTATAGTCTAGTTATTAGAGTTTCTTTTCCCTTTTTTACCCTTATTATGACTTTTATATTTTGCCTAGACCACAAAGGTGTTTAGTTCATTTTTACTGTTGTTTGGTTATATATATGAGGCTCTACTCTTAGTTTGGATATCCCTTTTCCACTCATAGTTATTTCTAGTTGGTATCAGAGCCAAACTTATACCCTAACCCTACCCTCACCTCCACCATAGACTCTACCATAATCAGCAACCATAACCCCGGCAGCCAACCATCCACCCAACCCGCAGCACACAGTTGCTCCGGTGAAACCTCTTGGCCAAGATCACCGACTGCTCAGGCCACCTACCATCCCAGCGACAAACAGCAACTCAGTTGCTCTGGCGAACCCACCCAGACCAGTCACTAACTTCACCGAAACATCATCCCAGCACCGAAACCAAGACCAGCCACCGACTGCCCGGGCCTCCCACCAAAAACTACTAAACCCACTGCCCCAACATCCCAGCATACAATACCCACAAGCCAAATTAAAAAAAAAATCAAAAACAATGATCATACCCAATTCCCTAGCCACCCCAACCCAACCCAGACCAGCCCCAAACCCAACCCAGTACCCACTCCAACGAACTAGCCCACTGTTGGGTCGCGTTCTTTCTCACAATTTTGTGTTTTGCCTTTGTGCTCTTCGTCGTAGTGTCTCCTTCTCTTCGCGCTACTGCCTTTTTTTCTTAGGGTTGCAACGTCTAGGACCTTTTAAGAGGGGTTGAATCCTCTTCTACGTTGATTTGCTCTTGATATAGTAAATCACTTATTTATATTTACTGGATTTTTGGGCACCGTAACCCTGATTATTTGAGAGCTTTCTGGACCTTCTTTATCTGTCGCTACTGTTCGACTAGAAGTATATTATTCTCTCTTATTTTGTCCCTTATTTTTCTGTCACGGTTGCCCATGTATTGTTATAACTATGACTACTACTAAGGGACTAGAAACTCCTACCATTGAGACCTCTACTGTTGAGACCTTTGCTGTTAGTACTTCCATTTGGAATGTACCACCTGATTTTCCCACTTTTATGTTTGACCAGTATACTATACTTACTGGCACAGTTGCATTACCGGTAATGCCGGGTATGATCTCTTTGAAGGTTACGACAACTATTGAATAACCGTAACTTTGCTGAGTGGTCACGCTTATTCCACCTTTTCTTAGGCCGTGTAGGGAAGTTTAGTTGGTTGACAGGATCTCACCCAAAGCGGGCTGATGACGACCCTAGATATTCTGAGGGGTTCTCTGAGAACTTTGCTATTCTTGGATGATTATTTGGCTCGATGGAGCCCTCTGTTTGCAGGATTCACCAGTTTTATAACTCTGTTCCGAAGCTATAGAGCGCATTTGTGAATCTTCTATCCTTATATTCCACTTATTTCCACATTTAATTTCTCCTTTACTTTCCAGATTGGTTTCTTCTCGGGCCGCAAGCGAGAGAGCATCTTCAAGTCCCCTGACGATCCATTTGGAAAGGTAGGTGTGACTGGAAGTGGAAAGGGTTTGACAGATTTTCAGAAGAGAGAAAAACACTTGCATCTCAAGGGAGCAAACGCCGAGTCTACTGACGATTAAGTAAACATTTTTGTGTTATTTTGTATCTGTTTCCTCGGGCTCACTTGTGGCCAACCAGTTTCAAATAGAGTTTAGCATCATCTTAAAATGCACTGTGCACTGTGTTAGGATTGTAGATTTAGGAAGCCAGTTGATCTCATATGAACTGTTAATTTCTGATTGTCAGTTAATGGTTTCCTCCTAAACATTTTTGGTTTTTCGTTATTTTATTTTTCACCAAGCAACGCTGATATCAGTTTTGTTGTTTCTTCTTGTTAGTACCTTCTGATAGAGGTCCGTAGAAAAATCTATTCCCATCAGCTCTCTATGATGTTGGTATATGTGGTTGTGGCTGTAAGGTAATTAATTGGATGAAATTTATGTCCCAAAAAATCAAGAAGTTGGAAGGTGAAGGCACATGATGTGGCGTTATCCGAGACCAACAGATGACATAGTGCCTATAGAAACGTCATCTCCTTTTGGGAAAGAAAACCCCATTCTGAACCTCTTTCTCAGGGATCGAGGCCGACATTTAGAGGAAGTCTCCTTGCAGAACTAAGCAGAAGGGTGAGCAGGATGAAGCAAGTAGCAAAGGACATAGTTTCGTCGAACTTACTAAGGCAAAAGAAGAAATCCAAGTCATTGATTGAGCTAGCAAAGCCTGGTACCGTATCTCCTTTTTGGCATCGAAGTCTTCCCCAGAATTGTCTGTACAAATGTTGGCCAGTGGGTTTAATCGTAAGTCTTTACTCATGCCCGAATTGATTTCTCATCCCTGGTGGATAGCTAGAGGTTTTTTTGCTACAACTAAACTGTCCTCTTAATATTCAAAACGAGGGAAATAGCAAAGGAAATGAAAAGGTACAAGCAACCAAAGTGTCCTGGCTGCATGAACTTCTGTACTAAGACACTTGAAGAGTCTTTTAACATGAAGACTAGAACCCCTAATAGGGTTAGGCATGATTGATGGAAGCATAATATAAATGGATGTAACTTAATGATATCTGCTTGTTATGCTATACCTATCACAATAAATAAAGATAGAGGCAGGGGAGGGCTTTTGAACGGGGGGACATGAAATGCCTATAATACCCTTTCTTTTTCTGCTTAACCACTCAATTGTGTCCTTGACAAAATTCATATGGGTATTCATTTATGAGTAATATTATGTCATGTGACCTAATAATGTTGATGGAATTATGTTAATATCAAGTTTCAATGTTTAATGCGGTCCTCTATAAATCCAAAGACTATAGTGAATTAAGTTAATAAATTAGATCAATAAATTATGTCACAATAGTATTGCTCTTGATTTATTTTATCTGGTCATTCTGGGTCCTAAGACCAGAGTCATTCTAGGAGCTTGAATGATATATTCATCTTCAAATATATCTAACCATCATCTTGCTCAAGAACTGGAAATAAAACTCTCTCTCTCTCTCTATAGATCACTGAATGACAGGTGCTAGCTATTATCAAATCCAGGACTAAAGGGTAGAGCTAGATTCCATGAAAAGTGAATTGCATGGAGGGACCATGGTAGTCTGTAGCCAACATTTTGATAAGCATTGAGGGAGTGGTGTTAGGAGGATTGGAACTAGTTCTCTAGCAAGGAGGGGAGGTGCTCAGCTCCAATACCCAAACATGTTTGAGACATGTCCCTCTACAGGAAGGTAAATGATTGAGAAAAAGAACAAGAAAATGAGGACATCATTATTGGTGGTTTTGCTAATGGATCATCTCTCTCTCTCTCTGAATTACCTTTCTTGTTGACTTTACGGATACAGGTCTCATTATGTTCCATGAACATCCATCACATCGTATGGTGGTTAGATTTGCTCTGAGGGGTCTCCTTTTCTTCAAAGAACTAAGTGCAAGGGCACTAGCCCACCACTACTTACATGTTGTCGTCCTGTCATTTTTAAAAGAATGTGACAAGATCCTCCCCATGATCAAGGGATGACACTGATGTAGTAAAGCAGAATGCATTGAACCTTTTAAATGGGATTGTGCCCAATTCCTATTAGACCCTTTTGGACCAGTTATAGGATCGTAGGGACCCTTGGAAAAATATAATTCAAATAAATGTGGTTTGACACATTATACCTACCTCCATGGATCATAGTTAAATGAGCTATATGTATGATGTATTGATGGTTATTCTTTATGTTAAACTCAACCCTATTTATAAGATGAGGACATATATTAGATAAACAATCAAATTTTTCAAAACTGATCATATCCAGATAATAAGGGATCCCGATCGATCTCATTGATAGACAAACATCTTATTTCACCTTGCATCTTCAACCATATACTTGTGTAAGAGAGGATGAGAGATTTATTCATGGGTTTACCAGCTAAGCTAAGGTGCCATTACAAATAGTACCTTCTATACATTTTACAAGCATTATCAGCCTAAAAGGAGCCCTTATGGCATTCCTTAATTTTCTCTATTTCAATACAATATTCAAGTGGAATGTTAGAGAAACATTCACTTGAAATGATACAATTTCATTCAAGGTATATTGTCATCTACCACAAATTTTGTGGAGTTCAAATTGGAGTGCTGTAAGTCTCTGTTTTCCGAATCATGTGGTGGTGTGGCTGATGGAGATAGATGATAAGAATACCATTTAGCCCAAAAGAGATAATTAAAGAAGTTGATAAAGCTTAGAACTGCTAGCAACCAGTAGAAGTAGTCCAGCCTATCTTTGTTGAGATCATTTTCACTGAGCCAACCGCCACTGGACGAACCAGAAGTGATCTTATTCACCAGGGAAACAAGCACAGAGCTTAAGTAGAACCCAAAAGAATATGAGCAATAGGTTATGGCCGTTAAAAATGATTGCATACCCTTTAAGGACTGTTTGTAAAAGAACTCAATCAGACCAACTGCTGTGAACATTTCGGATAATCCGAAAATTAAGAACTGTGGGGTGATCCAAAAGATAGATATTGTTTTGTTTGAATTCACAGCTTCATTCCTTCTTTTATTCTCCATAAGGGCAGCTGATACCATAGAAAAGGTCACGAAAAAGAGACCGAATCCTATCCGTTGTAAGGGTGTGATTCCGGAGTCATGACCAGTGAATTTTCGGGCAAATGGGACAAAGAAAGTGTCATAGAGGGGGACTATGAAAATTATCATAATGTAAGGGATGGCTTGAAGCGAGGCCGGGGGGATATGGAAGTTTTCGGTGAGCTGTGTGTTCATGACACTTCCTTGTTGGACTGAGAATGTCTGGAGTTGAGCCAAAATGGTGTTGAAAACAATGGTGCATGCAAATATTGGAACAACTGAGATCAGTATCTTTACTTGCTCAACTTGAGTCACTGTGCACAGCCTCCACTGGCTTTCCTTCTTATTAGTATTCCGTTCTTGGATTTTGATGCAGGCCTTGTCCAAGAATCTGAAAGTTTTCATATACTTGTTAAGCAAATTGATTAAGAGTTTCAGAGATAAATATTTTATTTTGCAGACTGTTGATGATAACCATAGCCAAGATTTAGTATTTAGAGTCCTGTCAAAGTCTGAAATTGAGGCAACTATGCCAAAAGGTCACAATTTTTTAAATGAATTATGCCAAAGAAAAAAAAATTAAAGGAAAAATTGGATCTATCTATAAATAAATACTATAAAACCGAAATTCTAGAGCGAACTACCATCTACTTTAAAAACTTAAACTGTTTGAGAGAGGTGTAAAATAAATAATATCTCATACTTCTCCCAACCTACCTCTCTTTTTGGGTGGTCAATCCACGTGATTGTATTGCGTAGCTAGGGAGAAGGGGTAGTTGCAAATGAAGGCCAAACTTTAAGCAAAAAGGAGGATTGAAAAGGTATACTGTTCACGATTACCTAAACCTATCAGTATGATGAAGAAAGCCAACATTGTTGCACATGGCTGCATTGCTATCAGAAACTTTGTTTTGGTGGCCATGGATCATTTCTGGATTGGAAGGACAAACTTGCTTTCTCTTTGCAATTGCAGCTACAAAGACCTGAAAAAGAAAGAAAAAGAGGAGAGAGAAGGGAAAGCCCATTAAGTTATTGAAGAAAGCCAGATCATCCGACAAATATTACTGTTCCCTTGTAAAGAGACACACTAGCAATAATCAAAGAATCTGAATCAGAATATGGCATTTTTATTAACTTACTAGATAAGTTAGGCAAGACATTATTTAATTTATAGAGGACAAGAATGCACACATAATCAAAGGAATCAAACAGTTCAGCCCATTGTTTATCATAAAAACACTTAAAACACCATACCAAATCCAGGTCATTATTACTAGGCAGCATAGTCAATGGCATCAAAGACTACGAGGAATGATTAGGAAGAGACTATGCTCAAAGAACTGGTGAAACACAGAATTTCATTGATTTAGATCAATGGAAAATGTATCCTAGTCTCTCGAAATGTGACAGGGATAGTCACCTATCATTGGGGTGGGTTGTGAGATTATCCTCTTTCAGATATAGTTGATTTATTTGTTGAGTAAGAGCATCTCCAAGAAGCTAATTATTTGGTATTTATTAACTAAAATAAAGAGTCAAACCACAAAATTGTACTCCACGTGTCAAGCTATGCAATATTTTGACTTAAAATATTAATAGTAGTTAATTAAAATCGAGAGTATGGTTGGAGTAACTTGTAAAAATGACTCTTTAAAATAAAAAATATAATATTTTAATGTATTTTGAGTAATTATTTTGAAGAGTATGCTTAGAAATGCTCTAACTCTTGAGATTGTACCTTATTCTATATGTTTTTTGCATAGAGTTTCCTTCTCCATATAGTGTTTATGATGTTCAAATCCTCTAAGATACGATGATTCTTTAAATATGTCATCTCTTTCAAGTTTTGATCACTAACTTTACTAACTTGAATTTTTTTTTATTTTGACCAACTTTGACTTCATATTCGCATGTTATAATCGCATAATTTCTGACATATCTTGAACTATATTATATGTCTAATTTTTTTTATTCATGAAACTCTTTTAATTGATACAAATATATCGTCAAAGAGAAATGTCAACTTTTTTTCCGTTACTAAATAAACTACAACATTAATACAAAGAAATATTAGAACAGCTTAATAGTACCTGAGCAATTGGGGTCAGGATGCTTCCTTGAGGACGTTTATTCCTGTAAAGAAATATACCACAAACTAAGCTGATCAACCCCATTGCCATGACAGCTGCCGAGACTCCGAACCCGACGTCCATGCCCGAATGAGTTTGGACCCAAACCAGAACAGTTAGGGCAACAAGTTCACCCATAGAGAAGGCAAAGTAGGCAGCATTGAAGTAGGTGGAGAGCCTCTTGGACTGTTTTGTGTCATCTCTATTGAATTGGTCGGCACCATGAGCTATCATGTTGGGTTTAACACACCCACTCCCTAATGCCACTAAATAAAGTGCCACAAAAAAGATTAAGGCCTTCAGGCCCTTTGCTTCCAAACACTGGTCTCCATTGGTCACCATGTTGCAAGGGGGTGGCTTTAGTTGGGGAATATGGGCTTGGACTGACAATAATATGAAACCCTATAAAATTAACACAAACCCATGTGTTATTAGCCACAAAAAATATGTAAAAAAATTTACGAGACATATGCAAACACATGTATGTATATATATATATAGGCTTTGAGAGACATTATTGTAGGTATTTTGACTTTGAGTGTACTCTCTTAGAGTGCATACCCGGGTGCTCGCTTGCTCCTGTACCCTCTTTTCGGGTTGTTTTGAACGTCATTGTAATATATATTTTTTTGGATTAGTGAATAACACACAAGTGTTAGCACAATCCTATATCAAATGGGTTTAAGTGAAAAAAAAAATTGTGTTAGTATACCAAATTTGATACAACTTTCTCTGAGGTTGAGCTTAAATTTTTAGATAAGATTTGAATCCACCTTGTATGTAACCCAAACTATAACAACTAGCAATAAAGTAAAGAATAGAATTTCAGCCACTTTTGGTGGTGGCCGGAGAGAGAGAGAGAGAGAGAGACAAAAAAGTGAAGTGAGAAAGGGAAATTTGAGAGGAAGACTTACAGAAAGTTCCACAAAACCAAAGATAAGCATGGTCCAAAAGCACCCAAGGTAGGAATCTGAGAGGTAGCCTCCAAGGAGTGCAAGGATGAAGACAGTCCCTATAAAGTTTGTCACTATATTTGCAGACTTTGACAAAGAAAAGTGCATCTCGTTTATCACGTATGTTATGAGGTTGTTCCCAACAGCTGCTATTGCCATTATCTCAAATCCTTGAAGCCCTGAATTTCAGACATACCATATAAATGATCAAGAAGTACCAGGAGAGAGAGAGAGAGAGAGAACGAAGAAATGATATTTTTTAAGCCATTCATTCCTATTCAATATGGATTCCATTGTTTTCATTACCAAATATCTATTGCAATACCCATTCTAACAACTTATTCAAAAATGAAAGATAGAATGAGAATCTGGCGAAGAGGGAGAGAGAGAAATGAGAGCAAGGAAAAAAAAATGCCAAGCAGAATCCAGTAACCAAAATCCAAATGATTTATAATTTTTTGGGCATCAACTGATCCCTAACCCCTCAAACACAGACAAGAGGACACACACGTACACAAACATATACAGAGAGAGAGAGAGAGAGAGAGAGAGAGAGAGAGAGAGAGAGAGAGACCAAGAACAAAGGCAGCAGCTTTCATTCCACCATGCCTGTTGGGGTTGGAAGGTCTGCCTTTCCAATCAACAGTAGTCTCTTCAGCCATATTATTATCTCCTTTGAAGTCCTGTCTTCTTGTTGTCTCCATGTCCATTGTTCTTCTTTCCTCAGTACTCTCTCTTTCTCTCTCAAACACACAGAGAAGAGAACAAATACTCGATTTTCAGACCTCTCTCTTCACTATTTTTATGTGAGGACACTGAGGAGAGTCGTGAAGGTGTTGCCTTACTCTCTGTGCTGAAT